ACGGCTGCTACTCTGAATTCTTTCAGGCAGAATCCCTCCCTCAGTCCAATGCTGCTTCCTTTGTTCTTCAGGTGTCATGAATGCCATGGGCAGACAGAAAGGGAGGAATGATTTGGAGTATCAGCCCTTCCTTCCTATAGTCCTTTGCCTTCTTCAAGATGCATCTCCAGCTGAGGTTCAGGAGACAAAAAGTCTGTGTGTCTGGGAACCCCATGCTGTTTCTTTTTAAGATGTAGATTTTTCACCTGTCTCTTTTCCTGCCAATTAACAGCCATTTAGCAAGTGAAGACCCATTTAACCTTATTTACACCTGGCTGAGGTGTCAGCTTGCCTTTTGTTTCTAAGGAACTGGTTTGGCCACTCCCCAGACTTGGAAAATGTCTTAGTAACACCATACAGTGGAGTCTCATAACTTTACATACAATGTTGCCACACATATTTTACTGGGAAAATAATGACCAGCAAATTATGAGTTTTCAAATGATACCTCAGAAGGCATACTTCATACAAAGATTATTACAATAATGTGCAAAGGGTGAATACAGGAGTACAGCCCAAGAAGAAGTAGCATTTAGAAGGGATCGTGATACTGTATCTTTAAGGGCCTGTGGGACCTGGAGCCTTGCAGAGAGAGTGGATCAAGGCTTTCTTCTCACTCAGTCAATAAGGAACGAGCTGAGAGAAGGGGGCCTCCTCCTTCATAGCAGGGCAGATATCTTCAGACACTGAAGGGAGTAAGAAGGCTTCTGCAGTGCCCTGAATTAACAGAGAGCAGACACCAGCATTAGAAAGCTGCCAAACCCTCTGACCCTGAGGATGAGGTGGGATCAGCTTTGGGAGATAAATTGCAACCAGGAGAAGAGCTGGGGCTCCTGCTATAAGGAAAAGATACAAACTGAGAGAGAACCCTGAGGAAACAGAGCCTAGAGGGAACACTTCAGGGGAACCCTGAAAGCCAGTTTATTTGGGACTTTTTGTTGCAGTTTTTGTAATGAACAAGCTCTAAGAAGGGTGTTATTGAATCAAAGTCAAGAGTGCCTGAAGTGGAATTAGTGACTTCCTGAGAAGGGAAACTGGTGGAGGGAGTACATGCAGCTCCATACTAACTCATCTGAGGGTGCAACAGGCCCGGCACACCCCACAACAGTGGATCATAAGATTATTAAATGAATACACTGAGTGGTGCTGGCCAAACTGATATTGAATGCTGCAGCTTGTTGCCTCTTTCAACAAGACAAATTATATTTATACCATAGATAATGAAGCTAGAGACACATACCTGTAGCACACAGCTTTTCTTTTATAGATACATGGTGTTTAAGGCCAGAAGGGACCATTACATCATCTCTGACTTTCTGCATATCACAAGCCATTACATTTCACTCAGTTACCCCGGTATTGAGCCCAATAACTTGTATTTGACTAAAGCATATTTCCCAGAAAGGCATCTCATGTTGATTGGAAGAGAGCAAGAGATGGAGAATGCCACTTCCCTTAGTAGTTTGTTCCAGTGGTTAATCATCCCCACTATTAAAATATTGTGCCTAATTTCTAACTTCAGTTTGTCTGGCCTCAGCTACCAGTCATTGGTTCATGTTATGCCTTTCTCTGCTAGAATAAAGAGGCCTTTATTTCCTGGTATTTGGGCCTGTGAAGGTACTAGTACACTGTACTCAAGTCAACTCTCCCTCTCCTTTTTTGTAAATTAAACAGATTGAGCTTTTGAAGTCTCTCACTGGAAATTTTCAGCCCTTGAATAATTGGTGTAGCTCTTTTCTGTACCTTCTCCAGCTTTTCAACAACCTTTTTAAATGTGGACAATAGAACTGCATGTGATATTCCAGTATTGAGCTCACCGATGCCATATACAGATGTAAAATCACATCCCACTCGTTACTCTCTTTATACTAGGGATGTAAATATCATTTTAAAAGTTAAACCTTTAAACGATGAAAGTTATATTGTTTAACCGGTTAACCAATTAAAGATAGAGAGGCTGGGGCTGCTCTGGCTGGCGCGGCTGGGAAGGGGGGCGCTCTGGCCGGCCCGGGGCTGGGGTGAGACGGCTAGCGTGGCTGGGGCTGCTCTGGCCAGCTCTTGGCTGGGAGTTAACAGTTAGGGTGTTTTAACAGTAATACTAATGCTTACCTGTTAACTGTTTAACAGTTTAATATTTTACATCCCTAGTTTATACATCCAAGGATCACATTAGCCGTTTTTGCCAAAGCATCCCACTGGGAGCTCAACTTGAGCTGCTTGTCCACTATGACCCCTAAGTCTTTTTCAGAGTCACTGCTTTCCAGGATACAGTGCCTCGGACTGTCGGTGTAGCTTGTATTCCTTGTACCTAGACGTACAAACTTTTGTATTTGGCTATATTAAAAACACATCTTGTTTGAATGGGCAGAGCTTATCATGTGATCCAGATTGCTCCTCTGATTGCCCTGTCTTCATTATTTACCTTTCTGCCAATCTTTGTATCTTCCACAAAGTCTGTCAGAAGTGATTCTATATTTACTTCAAAATCATTGATGGAAAATGGTGAATAGTGTTAGCCCTACTAGCGATCTCTGTAGAATCCCATTAGAACCACCCTCATTTGATGATGATTCCCCACTGATGATTACTTTTTGAGATCTATCAGTTAGCCAGTTCTGAATCTATTTAACATGTGCTCTCTTTGTATTGTATCGTGCTATTTTTTAAATCAGAATGTTGTACAGTATTACATCAAATGCTTTCAATCCAAGTGTTGGTAAAAATGCTAAAAAATCATATCAAATACTAAATTAGAAAGTAGGTCTTTTGGTTTGATAGCCATTGTCTAATTCACCAGGGCACAGTGTTTCCTAGCCATGTCACTGAGCCTCTGTGAGCTTTAGTTACCTCATCTGAAAAATATGCGTAAATGTTTTCAGGATCAGGACCCATGGCACTGGATGCCTAAGCCCAGATCTAACCAGTAGACAACACTCTCATTCTTGTTTTATAGTATCTAAATCAGTGGTTCTCAAACTTTTGTACTGGTGACCCCTTTCACATAGCAAGCCTCTGTGTGCGACTCCCCTTTTAAATTAAAAACACTTCTTTACATATTTAACACCATTATAAATGCTGGAGGCAAAGTGGGGTTTGGGGTGGAGGCTGACAGCCTGTGACCCCCCCACATAAGAACCTCGTGACCCCCAGTTTGAGAACCCCTGATCTAAATAAAAATTTAATTATAATAACCTGCAGCGTCTCATACCTCCAAATAACTTTCAAGCACTGGTTCATTTAACTGAAAAAAAAAAACAACCCACAGTATTTTAATCATAGTTTCTCAGCATAATTCTTTTACCTAATTGCTGCATATAGAATCATAGAATATTAGGGTTGGAAGGGACCTTAGGAGGTCATCTAGTCCAACCCCCTAATCAAAGCAGGACCAACACCAACTAAATCATCCCAGCCAAGGCTTTGTCATGCCAGGCCTTAAAAACCTCTAAGGAGGGAGATTCCACTACCTCCCTAGGCAACCCATTCCAGTGCTTCACCACCCTCCTAGTGAAATACTGTTTCCTAGTATCCAGCCTAGACCTCCCCCATTGCTCCTTGTTCTGTCATCTGCCACCACTGAG